ATGAATGTAAAACTAAAGTTCTCCCATGTAAACTATCATATAATTCACAATAAAACATTAAAAAAAAAAAAAAAAAGTTTACTTCAAAATAAAGAATGTAAAATATGTCATCACTAAAACCTTCTTTTATATAGAGTACATGTTGAAATGATAATATTTTGGATCTATTAGATAAAATAAAATGTTATTAAGATTTTAAAAAAAAAGAAAAGAAAGGACTTTTCAACTGTAGTTAAGACAATGGCGCAAAGCCTGCAAAATTCCGATGGAAAATCATTTCCAGTCAACACTTCTTGCAGTGCCGTGAGTGATTTCATGTGTCTTCTTGCCAAAGTCTTTGAAAACTCCCACCCAAAGACAAGGCTCGGAAAAGATGCTGATGGACTACATGGTTCACGTGTGAGTGACTGTTGACAGGAATGTTGGAACTCTAATGAGCGGACTGGTCGATGCTGCAATGCTGTGGGTTTGAAACCAGCCATCTCAAAAGCAGGAAGGGAGCTTTCACTACAAGAAGAGCTACGAGTGAAGCGCTTTCCTCCGGACCCCAAGATCCCTGAGCAATGAACCTCCTTGACCCAGGGACAGAAAGCTGTGACACTGGAGGAGGGGCAGAGGAGCAGCAGCAGCAGAACTAAGAGCCAGAGCAAGAGACAGACAGCATGGGGGGCTTTCCAGCCCACGGAGCAAAGACAGCTAAGGGACTTGGGCAGGAGGCCTGCTTGCAGAATGGGGTGCCTTCAGGCACTTAACTGGGAGCGCTAGACCCCAGTGCCTTCAGGTTGAGGTTTTTTTTCTTTCTTTCTTTCTTTCTTTCAAAACATTAATACTTTAATTCAGTGAAAATGGGCACTTTAACTGCAAACACAATGAATCACACCCTTACGTGGAAATTCTCCTTATCCTACCCCATCTGGGCCATCACCACACTGCCTATGGCTTTCAAAAGCAAAACACCCACAAACATAGAAATGGCAAAACATTGCCAACAAGAAAGAAAACGTGGTGGTGAAGGTTTGCCTATGTCACAGGGTAGGTGGCAATGTGGCGAGCAGTAGAAACCTTCCCCTCTCTCTAGAAAGACAAGAACTGCACAGCTCAGGTTCCCAGAGCTGGATTTTCAGGTCTGTCACTATACCGGTGGAAACAAACCCACTTCGACTTCTAATTTCATGAACACTTTCAAATACTGCCACCGATACCAAGCTACTCCAACTTAGCCCTACACAAGAAACCCTCAGTGTTTCTCAAGAGAATTCCCATCTTCAAGGAACCCGGCAACTCCTCCTTTGACTACGAATACAGCTCTACAGCTTGTTGTCTTCGACACCTGCTCCTCCTGGAGTGCTGACCGTCTTCTGAGGAACAGCTGAGCCCAGGCTGCCCCCTGAAAATTCAAAGAGCACCTGAGCCCCCAAGTAGGCAGCACTGGAGACCTAAGCAACAGGCCCGTGCACCTGGCTTGAGGGCAGGGACTGGCTCAGCTCCAAACTGGACACGGGGCCATGCAAGAAGGCCATGGCCTGCACTGGTCATTGGCTTTGGGGAGGAATGAATTCTGGAGGTAGCACCAGGGACTGGCCGCCAGGAAGCTCTCTCTCTGCCTATAGCGCCATGTGTCAGCACTGGTACCTGGACCCTTCTCCAGATAGCTACTCTGGAGAGTCCCACCACGGCAGCATCTAGACAGGGCATGGGGAAGCCCAGCGCCTGGCTGTGGGTTAACTGAGCAGTTTGGAAGTAGGCTTCCCTGGGGGGCACCAGTGCAAGTGACATGAGCCACAATCCTGCGGCATCCTGGGATGGCCCCACCATGTTGTTGCCAGCAGCCAGAGGGCAGGGCCAGGGCAGATGGCAGTGAAGGTGGTGGTACCTTGGCCTTGCTCTTCCTGGTACATCTCTCCATCCTGCAAGATCCTGGGAGGTGGGAGCTTTGAAAACATCTTGTATCCTGGAAAGCTCAAGGCAGGTGCCGGAAGTGCTGATAGTCCTTGAGAGGCCTCCAGGGATTAAGGAAGGCCCTTTCCTCAGGCCCTAAACACTGAGGCATGTCCACACAATCAGTGTCAGCTTGAGGGTTCCCTGAGGGATGTGGAGGGTCTGGACCCCTCTCACAGATCTCGGGGTCTTCAGCTGTGGTCCCTGGGGCTGGCTTCCTGGGCTGGAGTAGAGCTTTTAATTTCCGGCAGTAATTTGCAAACCAGATTCAGGCCTGGTCCGCTGACAAGCTTTTCTCTGATGACAGCATCTCCACTGAACTTAATCTGCATAGGTGCCCGTGTCTGAGGGGAGGTTCTACTGGTCTCAATAGGTGCTCGTGTCTGAGGGGAGGCTCTGCTGGTCTCAACAGGTGCTCATGTCTGAGGGGAGGCTCTGCTGGTCTCAATAGGTGCTTGTACCTGAAGGGAGGCTCTGAGGCTTCTGCTGGACCTCCTTAGGGAAGTTTCGGGCTCGGGGCAGAGGAAGGCATTGGTGGGTTCCTTTTCCTACAATGGAAGGACTATAGGGGGCTGAGTGTGGCCACGCCCAGCCTCTTCATGGTCACAGGAATGTCATTCCAGGCATCTACCAGTTCCCAGCTGTCTCCTGGCACTCCGCAATCTCTAGGAGCCGCAGGCCACCTGGTGCTGCTCCTTCCTGGCCAGGAAAAGCATGTACACCTGGACCACGTCCTCGCTGTGGAGCAGGAACAGGCAGAGGGGGCTTCCCAGCAGAGCCTCCACCAAGGGGTCTGCCGGCACGGCCAGGCCACCAGCTCTGCTCTGGCTCTCCTCCTTCAGTAACGTCAGGAATCTCTGTCTCCGACCTCAGGCTGCTCTGCCAATGCTTCCCTAGAGGAATGTCAAGCAGGGTCCTGCCATGCCCCGAGCCAAAGACAGAGTCCAATGGGGGCCCCTTCCTCACTGGGGGCAGCAGCTGGCCTGGCTCAGGCAGCACATGGGTGCTTGAACTCAGACTTTTGGGGGTCCCCAGACTTTTTGACTTGATCCAGGTCTACCTGAGCCTTTCGCGGCACACCGTAAGGTAAGTCCAGGCGTTCTGTGGGCTTGCTCTTGGCACCCAGGCCTCACAGGTGCTGGTGCCCCACCCTGGAACCAGGCACCAGAGAGGCTCCACACTGGGGTCTCGCTACAATGTTTGGAGGAAGAGGAGGTCCAATCCTGAAGCGGGGACTCCAGGGCAGAGATCCATCCTTCCAGCAAATCCAGCACCAGGAAGACAATCCCCATTTCCACACTGCATAGCCAGATCTATAATGAAGACTGGCCACAAATTCAGCATCTTTAATTCGCTGCCCCCACCCTCACCGGGGTCCTGAGGTTTGGCTGTAGATGAAGAAGGGAGGGAGGCGTCCCAGGCTGAGATGTGTCCTGTGGGCATTTATAAGCAGCCCCGAAAAGAGCTTTGTAGCACTGGCCAGGCAGAGAGCGGCCTGCCTGTGGGCACAGCTGAGGAGAGGCCATCCGGACTGGACAAGAGTGCCCTGAACATTTTTGACTTGGAATTATAACCTGTTGGCTCCCCTAACAAACCCCATTAACTGTGAGCCCGGTGGCTGAGTTCTGTGTGGCCACTGCAATGAACTGTCAAATCCTGTTGAGTAGAGAGGGCTGAGGGAAGGGTGGCTGCACTCAGTGTTTTTGCACTGAATTAACAGACTTTCAGATATGCAAAGTCTCAAAACACTGACCTCTCCCCCATGCGTGTTTTCTCAAGAAGCCATCAGATGTGCTTCACTCAAACCAAGAAAGACAGAGGACACCAGAGATGGGGACCAGCTAGAGACCAAGAGAATCCCCAACAGGGCAGTGAACAGCTCAGGTGGAGGAGCAGACTCAACAGATGAGAGTAGGTCAGAGGCTCCATGAGAAAAAGGATTTCTACACAACACTTGACTCATCTGAACCTAGTAATGGGAAACTCACATAGTCATCTTAGGCCGAGTTGCTGGTGTTAGATGCCATCAAGTTGATACCGATTCATAGTGACCCTATGCACAAAAGAACAAAACACTGCCCGGCCCTGTGCCAACCTCAGTCATTGCTACACCTGAGCCCACTGCTGCTGCCACTGTGCTGATTCATCTCATTGGGGATTTTCCTCTTTTTCTACGACCCTCCACTTTACCAAGTAAAGAAAACAGTAGGGAAACAGATTTCAGTTTAAGCTTTCCTTTTAAGAAAACTAGACTCTGAGTATAGAAAGCAGATGAAGTTCAAGTATTTTCCTCTTCCTACCAACTCACTGATTTTGTTAAGTGCTGTAGATCTGTTACAATTCATAGCGACATAGTATAGAGTTTCCAAGGAGTGGCTGGTGGGTTTGAACCACCGACCTTGCGATTAACAGACCAGTGCTTATCCCACAGAGCTATACCCAGACTCCAAATCATTGATGTTGTTGTTGTTGTTATGTGCCATGGAGTCAGTTCCGACTCATAGTGACTCTGTACAGGGTTTCCGAGGCTGTAAATCTTTACGTGAGCAGAAAGCCTCATCTTTCTCCCAAGGAACAGCTGGTAGTTTCGAACTGCTGACCCTGAGGATAGCAGCCTGAATCACTGATAGGCTCCTGTAATATTGCCTGGGGTCAAACAATACACTACAATGTGGAAAACCCTAAGCTAACTATTGTTTAAAAAAATGACATCTAAAAGTAATTTAAATGTTGACCAATATTTTCCCAATATTTCATGATAATCCACTAACTACACTGTTAAATGGGGATGTTTTTTCAAGTCATATTTATATCTAAACCAAATAAACAATATTACTGAAAGCTATCAATCAAAGTATAAATATAGCATCAGTTTGTAGAAAAGACACTTAACACGTTTACTTTTCCTAGTAAAGAATGTGTATCTAGAATAGAAATAAAGGAAAACAAGAGTCTATGAAAAAATGTCTGATCTTCATATTATATATGCTAGTAATTAAAACTCCATATTCTTACCTTATTGTGTACTGAGGACAGCATGTTTGATTCATAACAGGCTTATACACATATTTCCCGCTTCTGAAACAAAATAAAACCATTTCGTTAATTTCATACACATTTTGTTTTCACAAGTACCAACATCCAATTTTTCTCCTTCAATGGCTCCCCTCTGCCTTAAAAAAATGTTCCCTATCATAGTAGACAAAGTCCTTTGACTCAATGACCTCATATGCATCAGAAAGTTGGACAATTTGAATAAAGAAGCCCATAGAGAAATTGATGCATTTGAGTTATGATGTTGGAGGAGAATATTAAAAGTACCACAGACTGCCAGAAGAACCAACAAATCTGTGCTCCTTAGAAGCCCGGATGACCAGACTTCATCTCTCATACTTTGGACTTGCTATCAGGAGGGACCAGTCCCTGGAGAAGAACATCATGCTTGGTAAAGTGTAGGGTCAACGAAACAGAAGAAGCCCTCCCAGGTGATGGATTGGCACAGTGACAGCAACAATGTGCTCAGCGTAGCAGTGATTATGAGGTTGGTGCAGGACCTGGCAATGAATCTTCTGTTGTGCATTAAGATCGATATGAGTCTGTGACTCAATGGCACCTGACAACAACAACAGCACCCCTTTAAGGGTTCCATGTACCTTATTTGCATTAGCAGCAAGCTGCCCAATCCCCTTGATGGACCACAAACACCTTATTTACATGGTGGTCACATGTTGTGGAGTCAGTTCTGACTCATAGTGACCCTGCATACGTTTCCAAGTCTGTGAATCTTTACAGGAGCAGAGAGTCTCATCTTCCCCCCATGGAACCGCTGGTAGTTTCGCACTGCTTACCTTAAGAGTAACAGCCCAATTCGTAACCACTACACTACCAGAGCTCCTTTGCAAACATTGTGTAAGAGTCGTAAAGACTATGGTTAAAAGGGTCATATTAAATCATTTACTGTACTGCAGGTGGGATGAGGGCAGAGATCTTCCAGGCTTCTGGCTACAGTAGCCGGGGTGAGTACTGGTGACATCTGATGAGATGGAAAACAGAGGGGAGTGGGAGGAGAAAAAGACTGAGGCATTCTCATGGTAAGAGAAAGGCTGGGTGTTGGCAGCCAGGAGGCAGGCTTGCAGAATGTGCCCTGTGGTTGTCTAAATGATCATATATTCCTGAGTGTTTCTGTGTACATCCCCCCTACCAAAAAAGCAAAAAACAAAAACAGAGGAAACAGAAGCAGAAACAAATACTGTTGAATGATGATGCACTGAGGAGACTGTAATGATTGCAATGAAATGATGAGTAGAAAACTGATGATCTCGGGTGTGGAGGAAGGTAGAATCTCCACTGAGTAGTATCCATTCTGTCTAGGCAGGGCTGATGAAAGAAGATGCGGATAGGTCTCTTGTGATACAATAATGAATAATTGTTATCAGGACTGATTGTAAAGGTTGGAAATGTAAAGGTAGATGTTTTGTAGCAAAGGGAGGGGAGTGATTAACTTTGCAGTCTAGGAGCGGAGGTCCCTGAGACCATCTAGGAAGAAGAGCAGAGAACGGAACCCTACCCAGAGAAGCAGTGATGCCAGGGATGAAGGCAGAGACGATGACGTGGAGAGATGGAGCAGCTGGGGACTTTGGACCCAGAGAGGAAGAGGAGCTGTGTGCGGATGATCAGGGGGCAGGCTTGAAGGGTATACCCTTTGGTTGGTGGATGATGCATGGAGGGGATTGTAACCAGGGCAAGGAAACGATACATGACGGGATCAATGTGAAGCTAATGTTCTCCCATGCAAACGATCACATAATTTACAATAAAGCACTAAAAAACCCCACAAAACTGATTATCTCCCATGTAAACTATCACTCAAGTCACAAAACTGAAAAAAAAAAAAGGGTATTCAACATCGTATTGATAACCTGCCTTGTAGATGAAGTTTAAAGAGAGCTGTGAAGTTTCATTGCTATGCTCAACCCCATGTCTTCAAGAGTTTTAGGCACTGGTTACTCAGTACTGCTTACAGAAGCAGAAAGAAAGAAGGCCTTTGGGAAAATTTAATGAACAGATGATGGAGCTGTAGGATAAGAACTGAACTGCCCACTGCAAAGTTGGCAGTTCAAACCCACCAGCCGCTCCTCAGGGGAAAGATGGAGCTTTCTGTTCTCATAAAGATGTACAGTATTGGAAACGCTACACGGGATGGCGATGAGTCGGGATTGACTCTATGACAGTGTGTTTGGTTTTAAGAGAGAAGTAACAGGGGACAAGGTGGGACGTAAAGAAATTATTCACTTCATAAGCTATGATAAGGTCTTACAGTTGTGTTAAAACCAAAAACCGAAACGAAACAGTACTTCAACCAGAATCCAGAAGTGTTAAGTTGGAGAGCAGGGCCACAGCCCAAGTGGTCTCCGAAAGCAAAGGACTTGAGAGCTAAGGTGTTTAGGTGTTGGGCTTGGGGCACGCTTGGTGCCCGCTGTTCCTCCAGTTTTCCCCATTAGTAATGGCATGTTGACCTTGTACCTGGCCCCACCATTGTACTTTGGAAGCAGATTTCACAGGTTCACAGATGAAAAGGAATTCTGACCTGGGACTGAAAATGACTAAAGTTTCGTGCACATTTGATTTAGATGATTTAGAAGTGAGATTTTAAACTTGGAGTTAAGATGATAGGGTGCCTTTGAGAAGAACATGAATTTGGTGGAATGTGAAGGATCAACTGTGTCCCCAAATACTTATTAAGGAGTGTTGATAATGGTGCCTGGAATTTGTTCTAAAGGTTCTTTAGAGCGGGAAGAGAGGAGAGCAAGGAGAACCGACCTGGCACCAAGCCTGGCCAAATGCTGCTAGCTAGAGAGGCGGAAAGGTGGCATGTGAGGGTCAGTATAGCACATGCTCTACTCCTCTGCATACTGAAAACCTTCTTCCCAAACATTCTGCTTTTTTAAGAGATAGATAAGAAAATCACTAACACATTCTGTTTTATAGTTTTTCATGCATATTAATTCTCCTGGAATCTATATATGTTTATAGCACCGTCCTGAACTCTGGAAAAAGAACAAACATTTGAAAGGCAGATGGTTTCTCAGGGGCAAGAAGAGGCAGCAAGGATTTGTACAAAGGAGCATTACCGTCGCCATCCTCGGTCTATAAGAGCCTGGTAGTCCTGCACCGTCAACGAATGCGCCCACATGCCTGAAAAACAAGTGCAGGGGCGTTACGGCAGGTCCGGCTTTTCTCTCTTCTAAACTCAAAGTATTTTATGAAATGCAAATATTCAGGGACTAGAACACTGACATTAGAGAAATTCCAGTTTGCGCTTACTTCACACGTGGACAGCGTGACATAATTCACAGTACCAGAGAATAATAAAGCATGTTTATTTTATTTAATGATTCAAATACAGCAACATGATTACATTTAGCCGAGGAATACTCACTAGTCTCAAAGACATCAAAAATGTCGGTCCCCGCTGAGATCCGACTACAGGTCACCTTTAAACCTTCATGATGCCCCCAATGATCTCTCTGTTCTCTACAGAAGGACTGGAAGGCAAATGGTTTTCATGCATTATTAATCCTTCTGCAGTTCTGGTAGAATAAGCATAGGAATGCTAACCTTAAGGTCGGCAGTTCAAACCCGCCAGCCACTCCTTGGAAACCCTGTACTGGTTGGTAGGAGTCAAAAACAACTCGACAACACTTAACAGCAACAACATTAATTCTTCTGATTTTCACATATCTATGCAAGGTCGGTGGTTCAAGCTCACCAGATGGCACTTAATAACAACAACAAATGCAAGTGTTGCAAAGATGGTGTGAAAATCAGAGGAATTAATGTTGTTGCTGTTAAGTGTTATCGAGTCTCTGGTAGCACAGTGGTTATGAA